GTCCCAGCTACTTGGGAGGTGGAGGCAGGAGAATTGCTTGAGCCCAGGCGTGGGAGGCTGCTGCAAGCTGTGATGCCACGACCCTCTACCTAGGGTGACAGCTTGAGGCTCTGTCTCAAAAAAAAGGTAAGTTGGAGAGAGACCCATCTGACTAGGATCCCACTGTTTTTAAGCTTACAGAAACTTTAATGATAAAGTCAAAAGTTCCCATTCAGAGAAGGTAAAATTCTTTTTTGGTAAGGAATCTTTGGACAGCTTTTATTCTGACATGGTATGTGCATTGACAGTGAACAGCAGAATTATATTCACTATTAAAATTCTGGCAGAATGAAATGCTTTTAGAAAGCTTCTAAACCTAAACCTATCCAGTGGTGCCTCTCATCTAAAACAAGCCAAGGGAAAGCTTGGGTTTGGCTTCTCATATTTTATTTTCAGGTTTTAACACTGTATTACAATTAGAGTACTCATTCTCCTCACGTTGTTTAAGGAAGGAGGAGTGGTGTTTAAAAACTGGTGTATCATCAATCTTACATTTACCATTTAAAAAAGTTACTCCGGTCTGTTATTCAAAGCTCTCAAATAAAAAATTAAGAAGAAAACTTTAAAGTGCCCTTTTAATTCCCATTGTGCTGGTTTCACAAGTACAGAGGGTGTTGTTACAGCCTGTGGCAGACGGCCCATCAGGAAGAATTTTTTTTTTTTTAAATATTTAGGACCCAGTTTGAAACACTCATTTTTGTTTCTTCTGGGGGTCTTCAGGCCTTTAATAATTATCAATTATTAAAACTGATAATTTCATTCAATTCTAAATTTTTGTAAAGCTTTTAGATAAATATGACTTATCTCAGAGAACAATACTTTTGGTGTCTTTCACCACCACGTAAGTGTAGTCTGGCTGGATGTCAGAAATCCAGCACTGGCTCTCCGGCTTATTCCTACAGTTCCAGAGACTTCGTAGGAGGAAAGCTATCTTTGAAAACTTACCAAAAGTACTGTATGGACTCTTTAACACATTAAATATTAAGGAAGGAAGCCTTAACATGTACGTTCAAGGTAAGACGGCTTCATTTAATGTGTGAAAAGACATTGCCAAATGGTGAGTCGGAACAGATACATATGCGGAATTATTTTATTTTATTTTTTTGGGACAGAATCTCACTTTGTCGTCCTTGGTAGAGGTAGTGTCACAGCTCACAGCAACTTCAAACTCTTGTGCTCAAGTGACTCTCTTGCCTCAGCCTCCCAAGTAGCTGGGACTACAGGTGCCTGCCACAACGCCTGGCTATTTTTTATTGTTGTTGTTGCAGTTGGTGTTGTTTTAGCTGGCCCAGGCTGGGTTCGAACCTGCCAGCCTCGGTACATGTGGCCGGCACTGTAACCACTGTGCTGTGGGCGCCAAGCCACATTTGTGGAATTATACTGGAGGTTGTGCTTGGTTTTTATTGATTTATCAGTCAGGACAGGTGACAACTGCCAAATCTCAGGAGCCTAACTAAATAAAAGTTAAATTCTTATTCATGCTAAACATCCAGCACTGTTGGTAGGGGGACTGTGTTTATCTTCATCGCTTAGAGGTCCAATCTTGAGACACGCTTCCAGAATCACTGGGATTTGGGGGATGGAGAGAAATTGGAGAGTCTTACACTAGATAATAAATATTATGACCGAAAAGTAGTCATTTCCTCTCGCATCACACTAGTTAGAAATAGGCAGTGTGAGGTTGCCTAGCACTCTGGGAGGCTGAGGCAGGAGGATTGCTTGAGCTCATGAGTTCGAGACCAGCCTGAGCCACAGTGAGATCCCCGTCTCTACTAAAAAATGAAAAACTGAGGCAAGAGGATCTCTTGAGTCCAAGAGTTGGAGGTTGCTTTGAGCTATATGATGCGATGGCACTCTACCATGGGCAACAAAGTGAGATTCTGTCTCAAAATAAAAAAATACTCACAGAAATAGTCACATGAGGGCAGCGCCTGTGGCTCAGTGAGTAGGGTGTTGGCCCCTATAATAAGGGTGGTGGGTTCGAACCCAGCCCCAGCCAAACTGCAACAAAAAAATAGGCAGGCGTTATGGTGGGCACCTGTGGTCCCAGCTTCTCAGAAGGCTGAGACAAGAGAATCACCTAAACCCAGGAGTTGGAGGTTGCTGTGAGCTGTGTGATGCTATGGCACTCTACCGAAGGTAACAAACTGAAACTCTGTCTCTAAAACAAACAAACAAAAGAAATAGTCACATGGGCCCATTCAAATATAAGGGAATTAGAAAATTCTGTCTCGTAAAAAGTTAGGAGAATTAGACATGGTGTGAACCAGAACAATAGCCAGCATAGTCTGTCCTGTCCTACTGGCCACCAATATTTAGTTCACTCTTTATCACACAGAAAGCATACCCATACTTACCTGTCCCCCAGGGGAGAAGACATGAAAATTCCATCCCAGAGTGGTACAGAACTTAGAAATATAGGAACTCTAAGTGATGTGTGGAAGTTCCCCTATCAGATCTGAATGTCACGTCTCTTTATCTGGAGACTTGCACACATCCAACATACAGTAGTGGAAATGGAATAAGATGAGTAAGTGCAATAAATTATGGCACTTGGAAAGGGGAAAATGGGAGACACAGCAGTCACTTGGCCCAAGCGGTTCTGAAATCCTGTTGAGCAGATGTGTTCTCCACATGCGCAGGCCGTGGAATTTGGATGAGGCTCTGCTTCCACCCCCTGGAAATTCTTCTCTTGCTCATTGTCCTTACGGCACCTAAACATAGTTTTTTCCGCTATTCTTCTTGGCCATATCTAGAACGGACTTTTGAAATCTATTCTTCCTGGATCCGAAAAGTCTCTCCAGTACACTTCCTATGATCAATGTTTAGGACTAATGTTCTTAAAGTTTTGAACAATCAGGCCTGGGTGCGGTGGCTCATGCCGTGATCTGAGCACTCTGGGAGGCCCAGGTGAGTGGATTGCTTGAGCTCATGAGTTGGAGACCAGCCTGAGTTACAGGCTCACTTACTAAATACTGATGGACTCAAATTATCCACAATTAAGTGAACAGAGGGATAGAAGAATGAAGTTAGAAAGCAGAGAATTGGGCTGGGCATGGTGGCTCACACCTGTAAAGCTAGCACTCTGGGAGGCCGAGGCAGGCAGATCGCCTAACCTCACAAGTTTGAGATCAGGGTTGAGATTTGTTACCTGTCCTACTGCCCAGGCTCTTTTATAGTAGGTAGGGCCATATACTTAATTCACTCTTAATTTGCTTGTAAGGCAGAAAGCC